TGGCTGCTTCTTGGGAATGTGGCATGCACTTGAAATATTTCTTTCTTTATTTTTTTTCGTTTGTGTCTGCCACATGCTGCTGGCGGCTGGCTGCTATTATTCTTATCAATTGTGGTGCAGCTGCTGCAAGTTGCTTTGTGGCTGATGAGAGACTCAAGGAATTAGTTTTATGATTTCAAAGATATTGTTATTTTTGCTTGGGAAAAATATTCATTTCAGACTCGTGGAGAAGCTCCTCTACAGAGTCCTGTAGCATTGATAGAGAACGCCTTTGGGGGCGTTTAATTATCGTTTGCATTGCTTTTGCTTTAACAAAATGTTCCCATAAACGAACGGCTACAGATCGTCTTAGATCCCGTTTAAATGGAGCCCCCAAAATGTTTTTCAGTTGTTGCCGCTGCCGCCAAAAGGCTATTAAAATTGTTGCAGCTCTCGCAATAAACACAAATCTCTGCGGCAATCACATGATGCGGCGGCGGCGTCGGCGGCGTCGGCGGAATCAGCGGCCGGCAGGCAACACCGGCAACACCTGTTGCCGCTCAATATCAAAAGAGCACGTGACCAGCAACATGTTGAGCAGGGAACAAGGAACAGCAGCCTCAGCAGCAGCACAGTCCCCTTGTAATATAATTCATCAATTCACAAACAGAGAGGAGAGGCAGCAGAGGCAGCAGAAGCAGCAGAAGCAGCAGCAACAGGAGTAGCGGGCACGATTCTGATTCCGATGCCGATTGCCAGGTTAACAAACGATAAATCGATGAGCCAAAAGGGCAAACAGGTGTCTGGTCCACCAAAGAGCAAAGGAAAAAGAGCATGGATGGAGAGGGCGCGGACAGAAGGGAGGCCCCGTTGTGGGACCCATTCTTACGGGTTCCCTTTCCAGCTTCCGTTGTTGGTTTTTGGGTCTGTAGGGCAGCCACAGGGCCATAAAAAAAAACAAACAGAAAAAGAAGAAAAAGAAGAAAAAAAGGAAGAGAATTCTTAAAGCTTTAAAGAACCGCTTGCATCATACCCTTTAAACCCATACTTTTATGAGTAGAAAAATTTTGGGTTGTGATAGGAAGTGAAAACCCACTGGGCAAATGGCAAAACTTGATTTGAAATTATGAAAATATCATCGGTAGAAAAGTCATCGTTTAAGCAAGGGAGCGAGGGAGAGGGAGAGCGAAGGAATGGAGAGCAGAGATGTGCAATGCAAGCAAACTTATCAGAACGCAAACAAAGAGAGAGAGAGAGAGGGAGAGAGGAGTGCAGCCCAAAGAGTAAGGGCAAAGAAGTAGCAGCACAACAACAAAAAGCGTTGCGCGCGTGTAACCTTGAGATAATTTAATCGTTTCTGTTTGAGAGCAGGCACACACACACACACACACACACAGAGGATGCACACAAGTGCATGCCGATGATGCTGAGATCGCAGCCAAAAAGCCACAACAAACAATTGAAAGCATTTAGCAAACGAGAGCAACAGAGACGGGGTGACAACAGAGCAAAAGAAGAGCAACGGGAATCGACAATCAACATAAATGCAGTCAGCGTAAGCCGAGGCAGAGCCACACGAGGAATCCCAATGGAATGAGATTTTCCTTGCAGTCAGCGTTGGCGGAGGATCAGGCGGGCAGAGAGCAGAGCCCACCGAAGGCACAGGAGCCGAACGAAAACGAAGGCAGTCAGCGCAAGCGAGAGAACAGAGCAGAGCAGAGCAGAGGTAATGCCCATACGAATAAAACGTTATGATCCCACGGCAGAGGGCAGAGGGCAGAGGGCAGAGGCAGAGGGCAGATACCATAAGGCAACTGAATGAAGTCGACGGCAGCTTTCGGAAGAGGAATCAAGAAGAAGAAAAAAAAAACAGATCCCAGCTTACCAGAAGGTTTACAAAAATACAGATACCGATTTTTGTTTAAAAATCATAGATTCCTCAGCATCGTGAAGTAGAATGGCTTCATACCGCTTGCCTCCCCGCTCTCCTTTCGAGAGCGAGTACAGTCCAGAGTGTTTGACTGCAGTGTAAATAAAAGCAGAGACCGAAGCAGAAACAGAAGAGGAGACACAATTGCATTGAGAAAACTTTTGAATAAAATCGATGCTTCCTAATCTTCTGCGGTGTGGAGGCTTCGCCTCGTCTCTCCCTCTTGAGCATGTGCAAACAGAAGGGAAGTTCTCCTTCTTCTCCTCCTGCTGCTCGATCATCATCATCATGCCATCCTCTTCAGAGAAGTCGCCACAGAAATGAACTTTAGAATATGCCAAAAGAGGAAAGGTGCGGTGGAGAGGGAGAGGGAGAGGGAGGGAGAGATCACCTCTCCGGAGCATCATCATCAGCAAACACTGATAAATTATTTGACAGATTATATTTGCGTTGAACTTTGGGCCGTGCCAAGACGCCGTCGACAGCAGGAGCAGCAGCAGCAGCGTAGTCGGAAGGCGATACCGAATGTTTGGATACCCTGTTTTCGATTCCTTTGTAATGTTTAATGGGAATACCCGCATTAATATTCAGAAACAAGAGAGAGGGTCCCACATTTGATAAAAACTAGCATAGGCAGCCCCTCCCAATGGGTGTCCAGAAAAGAGAACACATGCTAAAGGAGAATCGGACGATTGAATGGAGTAGTAGTCGGAGGAGAGGCTGAAAGAGCAGTGCAACTCTCCAACTGCAGGCCCAACGAAAGAGAGAAAGCTTTCAGAGCGCGCGCAGCCGTTGCTGGTTTTATTTTTATTTTTTACTATTTTTTTTTTTGCCGTTTGCCCGTTGCCCGTTGCTCTAACAAATGAGCGTCATGTCTTTGCCCGTCGCAAAACAAATCTGAGCAATTTTTTATGATAAATAACACCCCTGGAGAGGGGGAGGGCGGGAGACGCACAGCAAAAGACTGTTATATTTAGTGTAGGCCCCGCAGGCCGTTAACGGAGAGCGAAAGAGCGGGCAGGCAGAGAGGCTTGTGCAAACAAACAAATCGCTGTAGATTTATTTTAGTGCAAAAGCCTTAACACACTAAATTGCTCAGGCATGCGTGGGTTAACCATTCAGCTTAGGCAATGCAACGTTAGAGGGAGATAGCTTCTATCCGAAGAGTGAGAGAGTAAAAAAGAGGGAGTGCAATAGAGAGGGAGAGGTGGCGTGTGTGTGTGTGTGCGTCTGCACCCATCGATGTGGCGATGAAAAATGTTGCCTTTCAACGCGGTAATTAAAAGATGAATCGTCCTCTCAGAGCCTCCTCTATCTCTGTGGGCACACACAGTCGTCTCTCCTCTCCACTCTCTCTCTCTCTCTCTCTCTCTTACTCTCCCTCTCTCATTGAAGTTTGGTTACAAATTATGCTTCATTAACTGAGATAACGCCCCAGATCAAGGCAACAACAAAAACTACATGGAAATGTACAAACATACATATTTTTCCTATATGATTGATTAATGCTTTTAACATGTCCAGTACCCAAATTGGATTGCAATAGAACGGAATGGTAATGGAATGTGCGAGTGTGTGTGCGTGTGCCTTTCACTGAGGCGATGAGAGAGAGACGGTGAGAGTTTAACTGAGAATATTGCAAATTTAATTGCCAGAGATTTTTTTCTCTCATTTTCTTCGGCCATAAATAAATATATGTCCATTCGCTTAGAGTAAATTTGAACAGTGAACCAGTGGAACTAGTGGAACACGGAGTATTTTGTAATCTCCTCAAATCAATTCTTGTGGCCAGAATTTTCATTAGTTAGTAAAACGAGGTACATACTGGAACTGGAACTGACCTAAAAAACAATGGTGATCCCCTGATTGACACAACGAGACCGGAACAACCCTTTTTGGAACAGATGCCACACCTACGAGACAGGGGTACAACTTTCACTTGCAATTTGGGGAAACCAACTGTAAACTTGACGGTTATCTATGGATCTCTTGCTGCACTTCCGGCTGATTAATTGATCTCACGGTCGGAAGGGGAACAAAGGGTTAAGAACCTAACGGTCACCTTTCATTGTACAGTTAGGTAAAAGCTGTCTGCTCTTTTGAGTGTCACGCGCCAACAAACTTTCACTAGCCGCGGGAGACACAAAGAGAGAGAGACAGAGAGAGAAAGACGGAGGAACAAAAGGGTTGCAGCACCCCTAAAAGTTGATCTGGGGGATCGATATATAAACAAATTTCCAGGCCAGCCTCAAACTGATAGAAATCTTCAGTTAAGAAAATTTGGGTCAACAAAACGAAACGACAAACAGCTGCCAAGGGCAATGAAATGAATGGAGAGGTCTCAAGACAAGGAAGGGTTCCCGTTCTCCCGTTGCCCGCCGTTTGGGCCATAAAAAGCCGAAACGAAACAGAAGTCAGCAGGTAACATCGAAACATAATGAAAGGAGCTCGGAGGAGGAAGACTGCAACTCCTGCCCCTGCCCCTGCCACAGCCACTGGCCATTATCATCGTTTTTTTTTTTTTTTTTTTTGTAAACTTAAGTTGAAATTTATTTTTGGCACGCGCGAATTTCAAAGAACACTTTTGCAGCTGTCTAAAAAAAAAAGAGAGAAGATAACCGAAAACAGAAACTGAAACAGAAATTGATGGGCAAACCACAAAGGGGGGAATTAATGAACTTTTTTCATGAGTTCAGTTCTTAGGGGTACGATCGTAGGGATCTATGAATACGCATCAATCGATCATTAAATCTCTTCTTAACAGAATATAACAAGATCCATCGCTCACTCACACTGCCTCCGTCTTTTACAGAGTGGCTTAGCAGCAAATAGTCGCGCTAGATCCCATTAGAGATAGGGCAAGAGAAGTCTAACAGAGATGCAGGGCAGAATTAGCTCTATCTTTCACTCTCTATCCCAGTGTGGCTTAGCATTTCGGTATATTTTTTGGGATTTCATCGTAAAATGTTTGTTTCCTTCGTAACGCATTTGTCCGCTCTCTTATGGACAACTGTTACAACGAATCAACACGAATGAATCACAAAGTACAGTCTCCTCTTTCTCAATCATTAAGGAAAACTCTCAGGCTTACCCAAATTACACGTTCAATTAGAGCTACTACTCGTCGGACTAGTACGACCACGTTGCAGAACTCACCTGCAATGAAATGAAAAGAGGAAAGAAGTTAATTTCAGTTCGGAGGCAAAAGATGTAGAGATGGCAACTCTTATTAATAGACAATCAATCAGGCGGTGCCCCACAAAAGCGGCCGACAGCACCATTGTAACTCTACCGACTGCGGGATTGAACCTGAACCATCATCTATGGGGCTGGGCAAATAATGGCCTGGACTATGGACCCTAACCACATGTGCTGGTGTTGGGGGAATGGAATGGTCGAATGGTCGGGCCTGCTCTGCAATTAAGCGGCAATTCAATTCAGAATCGGAATCGGAATCGAAATGGGAATAGGATTGGGAGAATGCCAGCCCAAGACATATAATGGCAACCGATGGTGCGGAGTCAAGTGCAAACACTTGCGCGACCTGTCAGAGCCCGCCCCCCGCCCCCCTCCCCCCTCGAGCCCTTGTGCAACACAATAGCCTTCTCCTCTCTCTCACTCTCCCATTCTGCAAAAATTGATTAAACCCATTCATAATGACAGCCACAGAACAGCGTTCTAGAACTGGCGGCAACTTCGATTTTGCTAGAGCGGGGAGTTCTGACCTTGCGAGTGGTGCTAATAAAAAGCGATTGTGGCAAATTTCCAGATCACATCGAAGGGGGACTAATACACAAGAGCGGAGAAATAGTACCTACGGCTAAGCCACACTGTAAAAGGGAAGAAAGACTCTCTCAGAGTCAGGGTATTCTCACACTTCAGGGCCAAATCTGTTTCTTTTGCTGCGATTTTTCTTATAGAAAAAAGTGTGAGGAACTGCCAAGAGAGGATGAATGGGTTTGGGGTGTGTGTAAGAGATATGATCCACATTCAATTAAAGAACGCGTGTCGCATGGTCTCCACCAAAAACAAGGTAACAGCCATTTCTATGTGGTACAATAAAGTGCCTTCAGCTGCAATTCATTTTATTTATTGTACAAATGCAATTACAACGAAAAGAGCGATAGAGTGAGTGATAAAGGCAAAGAGAGGAAAGAGAGAGGGCTAAAAAGCTAACAAACAAACAACAAACACGAAGAGCGTTGACGGGCAACGCCGTCGCTGCCAACACGGACCATGCGATGACTATGACAACACAGACACCATTTTTTTTTTGCTCCGCCCACTTTCCCACACCCATTTCAAGCGAATGACGAATGGGCGGTGGGAGGTGGGAGGTGGCGGGGGGTCTGAGGGAGGGCTTCACGGGGGTTGGCAAAAAGTGCACTGAGCGGTGAAGGTAAGCGTGAATAAGCGTCGTGCAGGCGAATGGCACTAGAGTGAGATTACTCGCACTGCTCTACGAAAACAAAAACTACACAAAAAGTCCACTAAAAGTGATAGTCGGAGTTTCGATTAAAAATCGTTCAAAAAAGTGTAAAGTGGTCGATCAATATTCAATCGATATCGATAAATGATCTAGAAATAATCAAAAATAAAAAATTATCAATTGAACAGAATTCGATTACAAATGGATGTAAAAAGTTGAAATTTATCGACTAATGATCGTCCAATATCGATAAAACTCTGATAATCAATCGATTTAACACTTTAATATGAATTGACCAGAGCTGGCTTTAAAATCAATGCAAAAATTCCTTAAGGGATCGATTAATGATCAATAAATCTCTTATTAACTATCGATATACCACTAACATAGTAAGAAAGCTGTCATTTCGAAAGAACCTCCACAAAAGCCTGTTCAATCAACAAAGTCGGAAGTAAATATCGGTTAAAAATCGACGAAATATCGAGTAGTAAACCCAATAGAACTGAATAACTGACTCATCAATGAGCAATCGAAATCATTTACCTTTTCAAACCTAAAAATGGCTTTCTGTCAGCACTTTTGCTCTAGTCTTCATTCCCCTGTCATATTGTGTGCCTTTTCCTTTTCCAACAATTTTGCATAACCAAAAGGGAAATACATGATCCTCCTGTTCTCCCTAAATGCGAAAGAGATTGTACTGCAAAAGGCAAGAGGGCAAGAGGGGGACGACGAGGGAGATGAATGGAAAGGCGTTTGCATTTTGATGAGTCCCGTGAGTGGGAGAGGCGGACCTCCTCCCTCACATCTCATGGGCGGAAGAGGGAAGGCCTGTAATTGGGAGGGGCTGGTGACTCTCTCTCTCCCTCTCTCTCTCTCTCTCTTTAGGTGACGAACGTCATAGTCGCCGTAGTCGAATCGTGGGAAAATGTTTTTCCTGCTCTTGTTTTTGTTGTTGTTGTTGTTGTTCTGGCTGCCACGTTGCGGTGTGTCTGGGTGTGTTGTTGTTGCCTTGTACGTTGCTAGCTGTGGGGGCTGATGAAAAGATTTTTTGCCGCTCGCCGCGATTCGTTGCGCTGCATTAAGCAGAGCAGAAATACAACAACAAACGAAACCAAAAACAGTGTTAAGCACACTAACCGACTATGGAATACCATCTATGTACATAGATCTGAGATACGAGTATGTTTGTGTATCATCTACGCAGATCTTAGGGGAAACAAAAATTCGACAGAACTTTGGAAATTTTTCGGGCGAAGAAAACTATATCCCCGAGGGGTCTAAAAATCTATCGATTAATTTATCGATTCATGATGGGCAAAAAAAACCGATGGAACCCTGATAAATTGATATACCACCAAAATAGTCTAAAATGTTCGAATTTCTCTTGTGATCTAAAAATGGATCGATTAATAATCGAAAACATTGATGAATCGCTTGATATGCCACTAAAATAGAGAAAAATATTTAAATTTCAATTAAAACTTAAGATCCCAAAGGTAATCTAATGATCTAGTGATTTATCGGTTGATGGTTCACTAATAATCGATAAATAGTTGATAAATTATTGAAAATTGTCTAATTTCTAATCAGATCTATAATTATGATTGATAGATAATCGGCAAAATAGTGTAAAAGTATCCCAAAGGTATACCAATCGGAATCCGCGAATACCCTTGTCTCTCTCTATCTTTCTATGTCGATGTATCTGTCTGTCTCTCTCTCTTCCTCATTCCTTTAACGGTCTTGGCTTATCACACACGCATGCCCTGCTCTTCCCTCTAGCGCGCTAGGCGCTCCTCCTCCCACACTTGGACGACGACGACGACGACTAAACACCGCACTTTGCCTCCTCGCCTTATCTCAAGACACTTCCAAAGAGACTTCCAACTTTGGCTGCTGTCGCTATCGCTGCTGCTGCTGCTTCTGCCTCTGCTGCTGTTGCTGTCGACGCCTCTGTCAGCGTTTATCGCCAAAAGCCACTTGCACATGCAATTTCCAACCAAAATGTCTACGCTGCTGTTGAAAATTTTGTGTTTCTAATTGAATTCTGGAGAGATTTCAAATTTCATTCCTATTCGGTTTTGCTTTTGTTCTACGGCCTCTGCGAGGAGTGATAATAGCCACAGGCACAATGACTGATAAAGCCCCGAAAGCCGGCAATAATAATAATAATCATCATGGCAATAGAGTAGCAACAACAAAATAAAATGAAATTTTCATTTTTGTCGCACAGTTCAAGGCAGTTCTATAAGTACACGACAGAAAGTCTGCTGCAATCAAATATCAAAGAATTCAACAATAAATACATAATATACAACATATAAGCAGAAAAATGCACTCATACATCGAATGCACACAATATACATATGTATATAGTAGGGTAATCCCAGAATTTCGTTTTTCTTTCTATAGATAGAAGATAGATTTTCTTTTTTAATTGGCAACACGGCAGCAGTTATTTACTCAGAAGATTGTTTGATGTTTACTCAGGACTAGTCCTGACAAAATTGGGCGGCATTGATTGGTTTAGGGCCGGGCATCACTGGTTACTAGGGGGTACTGTACCGCTGTAGAGGCTAGAACCCACGAATTCTATAGGTTCTACCTTTCTTATTTCTTTCAATAAATTCCACCTTGAACTTGCATCTAAATTGAGGCCATGCACACACGCACATACACACGCGCATACACACTGCGTATGCGTGATGTGCCACCCATCCGCATGACGGATGACGCATACGCCATGTGTGCCACATGCAATACGATTAGATCTTTAACTCTCGCGAGTCGCCACTCACCCTGTGTGCTGTATGCAGCAGGCAGCGTCAAAGTAAAATAATTATTATTAATATTAATAATAATAGTTTTGGGGCTAACAAAATATGTGCTGCACTGAAACCCGAAACAAGATTAGGGACAAGTAGATCCCGTATTATTTTTCCGAATTTTTGGCCGCTTTGCTTTCTTTACTTTTTCTTTGTTTCCTTCAACTTTCATTAACAATATGTGTATATATTTATTTATTTATTTTGTTGTTGTTGTAGATATTTCGTGCGCTATGTAAATTACACAAAAACGAGCAAAAAAAAAAAAAAAAGGTTACCGAACAAAAACAAAAAAAGAAATGTTTTGGGGAATAATTTGTGGGAAATTATGAAGGGAAGAGCACGAACTGCAAGGAATTTTTGCTTTTGAACACGTAGACGCGACGCAGACGCGATGACGACGACGCAGGCGACGACGCCAGCAGCAGCAGCGACGCCAGCGACAGTGGGGCTGCGTTGGCCCCGATGGGGACGACAAAAACACGTGTAGCCTTGAAAAGATCGCTCTGAAGCCGCAGCATCACCACCCGAAAGGGAGGCGATGTTGCACGTTGTAGGCCTTTGTGGCACGAAAATGAAGACGCCCAATGGAATGATCCGCATAAATGCAGTAGGAAATATCATAAACAAAAAATAATGTTCACATGTTGAATAGGAAGTGGCATATTTTTTGGTATTTTCTAAGAAACTGTCGCTATTAAATGTCTCGTGTAACAGAAGCTTTAACGCCTGCGCAGGCCCAGGAAGCGGATGTGGCTGCTGCTGCTTCTGCGGATGCAGTTCTCGGGCCAATGGGAGGGGGCGAAAGTGGGGGGTATGTGGATGTTGGGGGGGTACTGTGCGTGGCTTAGATGCGTGGCCCAAACTTCGTATGCAACGTCAGCGCTGCTGGGTGCAACAGCGACGCGAACGGCGACTGCAGCGGACGGGCAGGGGCACGGGCACACGGGCAACGACGACGCACACAAATAACTAACTAACAGCGGCCGTAGTAAAATGACAACTGAAACCGCAGCAGCGAAATGAAAACGAGTAACGATAGAGAAAAAAAATAAAATAAACACACAGAGAAGAAAAAAAATAGCAATAGCAGCAAAAGCAACAACAAAATAAATGAAATAAAAATTGACGATGGGCAGCCGCAGCAGCGACGACGGCAAACGCAGCTGCAGCCAGCTCTGCCGGCTTGTTCTAGCCAGTGATGCCGCCGCGAAAAAGGCTAGCAAATCTGGGCAAGTTTTAGCGGGCCCGTGCCTTAAAGGCAGACCGCCAAAAAACCAACTTTGTTCTACATATGTTGCTGGTTCAAGTTGGTAAAAGGTAATCCTAACATCTAATATTTTAGAGAACTTTTCATCACATTCCTATTCTCAATATTAATTGCATTTATTTCAAAGCTAAACCTTTTAGCTGCAAATGTTTAGCTATTTTTCGCTATGTCAGCACTGATTCTAACATTCTTTTCGCAAGCTTTTCACTTTTCGCTGCATTTGCCGCCGTAGAGATGTAGAGCGAGCAAGAGAGTAGGCACCAGCTGCAGCAGCACCACCAGAACCAGCAGCAGCAGCAGCAGTGTAAGCGTAAGCGTAAGCGAGAGAGAGAGAGAGGTGGCATTTGGCTGCCACGCTTCGTCAGCTGTTCGGGGGCCGACGAGGCGACGTCGTGGGGTTCGTGGCTTGCCGTCGCGTCGCTTGTCGTGTGTGCGGAAGTGCAGAGCGGTTGCTGGTTGCTGGTTGCTGGCGTCGGCGTAGCGTCGTCGGCATCGAAACGCAGCGTAAGTGCAAGGCCAAACGCGTGCGAGAGAGAGCAAGAAAAAGTCGCTAGCTAGTGAGAGGGAATGGGTGTGCGTTTGTGGGTGTGTATGTGTGTGTGTCTGTGTGCGACTGGCAAGTGTAACTGATCGCGTTAGACGTGCGAATAGAGAGAGAGAGAGCGAGAGAGAGAGGGCGAGTGAGCGCGTGTATAATATGTACGGTTCTTCCCCACTCCCCCCCGCAGCGCCCACCGCCACAGCCCGTGACCATTCCATTCCACGAAAGCACGCGCGTGCCCTTGAAAACTTAACCCATTGGCAGCCAACGACAGCGAACGCCAATAGCAGCTGTTGCCAACACGCCCCCACCGGCAAACCCCCTCCCTCCTCAAACAGTTTGCTCGCAAACAAAAGAAAGTGCACAAATTGTTGAAATTTTCTTAGCGAAATCAGCAACAAAAACCGATGCCCCGAAAAAACCAGCAAAAACCATTCGAATCTCGCACGTACTCGCAAATGTTGCTTAGAGAAAACCCCGGTGCTCGGTACGTACCCACAGCCACCCCTGCCAACCGTCGCGACGTCCAAGTGGCCAACAATTTTCATTGCCAAACACATTTTTATACAAATGCGGTACGGTTTTTATTTTTTGAGCTATTTTGCGCTTTTTGTTGCGCAAAAAGAACGAACAAAAATCGCCAAAAATCGCCAAAAATCGCCAAAAATCGCCAAAAATCGCCACAAACATCAAACGGGAAACGTGAAACGTGCAAGGGAATACTTTGATACCCTTGCAGATCCATCGATCCTATGAACGATAATGAACAATAAAACGTTTCTTAGGAATATCTTTACTTCTTTACAAAAAAGTTATTGGGAGTCCAATCTTTGAAATTTTAGTGGGATAGTATGGGATCTCTATAAGGACGGATCTATAGGCTCCCAACGGAAACATCTACGCCGAATAATAAGGGTGAATGTGTAAAGACCATTATGGAATCAGAATAGATCTGGACGAATAGGTCAGATGGGGAAAGCCTTAGAAAACAGTGGAAGGGGTGACAGGAGTACTCGATGTTGATTAAGTACTAAATAGATTACAAAGAAGGTATGAATAAGTCAAGATTTAAAACTCCAGTTGAAGGAAAACTGAAGAGTGAACCGAAACACTGGAGGACAATTTTCTTCAGGAAGAGATTGGAATAATTGCCAGATATTTAAACATATCCCTTGTAAGATTGGGAGCTCTTTCATACCATAAAATCTGTAAAAATGTGAGTGCAAATACATATATACACAGGAATGTACATAGGCCCGGCTTTGATTATTTTCGTCGATTTACATATGTCTCTATTCCGTGGTCGGCTCCGTTTCTTGATAAGGCCGGGCCGCGCCCCATCTCAAATTCGATCGAGAAAAACTATTTAAAAGTGTAAACGGCAAAGACTTTATACTTATGTAAAGACATACATACATACATAGTAAGTACATACATATATAAATTCCTATATATCTCCGTACAGCTGTGTGTTTTGTTTGTGTATTTTATGTGCGCACGCTGCCAATTGCGAGTGGGGGGAGGGGGTATACCATGTTCAAGGTCGTGCGGCGAATGCACCTAAAGCTACACCAACAACAACAAAGTCCGAGGGTGAAAGAAACGCAGGCTTCATTACCCGAAGCTTTTGATACACTCAAAATCAATCCAATGGACACTATACACACATGATCCCATTTCGATTTGTAAATGTCCGATCTTGGCAGTGATGTGCGGAAAGCTTTAAGCTCCAGGGGTGCGATGCTCCCAACATGTGTTCAACCTTATAATACCCTTTATTGAAGTGTATAAATATAACAAACAGCCATTCAGTTCGTAACATACGCAAAATGTTTGAGTTCTACAAATTGCAAAAACTAGTGTAAATATGTATATAACCATATGTATATAACGGCTATATACCCACACACACACACACACACACACACACACACACACACAGACACATGAGCATACAAACGAATTTGCTTGGTCGTCAATTGCAAACGCGTCGCTGCCAGCGTTAACGCCGGCGTTCGCTTCGCTGCCATTGAATTTTCACTGTCAAGGTCGAGCGTTGTTCTGATGCGCAACGCAATGCGCAATGCGATCGCCAGACAGAGACAGATTTACGAAAAGAGGGAGAGAGGGCGCACGCAGACAGCGAACAGAGTGCTGTGGTGCAGTGTGCGAACGAAAACGAGAACGAGTGCACAAAAGCTGTGAGAGAATGCACACACACACACCCATGAGTGCCTGGCTGCTTCTTCCGCACAGTGGGTGTGGCGGGGACGGCAAAAAATGATTTTTAAACTTAAAAAAAATATTTAAAAATAACTAAATGATATTTACATAAGATAAATTCTGTTAGAAGACTATATTTATGCTAAATCGTAGGGCAGCCCAAGCATGTTCAAAACAATAGTAGCTGCAGGGTATTCCTAGAAGATTGGACACATTTACTTCCATTATATTCCCCCAACACACACACACACGCATAGTTTTGTCCTACACAAATTGTTTGGTACATTTTCATATATTTTTCTCTTTTATAATTTTGCGGTTTATCATTTTTCAGCGATCACCTCTTGACCCACTGTGGGGCTGTGGTGTGTGTGTGTGGGCGCTTTTGGCGGAAACGATATGCGGCGGCTGCGGCTTATGTAACGCACGACAACAACGACAGCGACAGCGACGCGTTGGCAGCGTCAAATGCATACGCACACGCTCTACGCTGCCCCGCTGCCCCGCTGCCCCTCTGCCGCACTGCCGCCGCACCAGGCATGCCTTTGGCCCTCTCCACCGCTGCTTCCTGCACTTTTTTGCTGCTGTTGTTGTTATTGTCGTTTAGCGGCTGTCGGCTGTGCTTTTCATATCGCTCTCTGGCTCTGTACGTTTTGCAGGGTATTTTGATTTTGATGACGGGTTTGTAGAGCACGTAGAGCTCTTATTTTTGTTGTAGGCAATGCACAAGATCGATGCATAATAGCATGTGTAAATGTCAAACAATCGCATCTCCAAAAGAGGGTATCCAAAGCTTCGATGCGCTGCAGTGAACTTTTTTTTTTTTGCATGTTTTTCTATCGCATTTGTTTTCTCAAGTTCGCGCGGCGGCTCTTGTGCAATTTGTCATCATACCCCAGCAGAGCACCCTTCACCACCCCAGCCGTACTTCCTGGCACAGCCTCACCCACACGCCCTGCGTATGCGTAATATTTCAAAAGAAAAGAAAATTGCAGCAAATTTGTCAGGCAGGCAAGAGCGTAAACAAAAACAAGCCGCCGCCAAATGCACTTTTTGCCATAAATCAAGGAAGAGCCACAGCAAGAAAAGCGCAGAAGGGCAGCAGAGCAGCAGAGAAGAGAGAGGGCCTGGCAGAAGACAGACAGAACGGCGCCACGCCCTCGACTGAACAAAATGAAGACATAATTTGACATAAGCGATGTTAAAGTTCACCAAAAAGAGAAAAAACATCAAAGTGCAAGACTCGAAAATAGCGAATACAAAAGCATAACAGCTATTGCTTTGAGCCGAAGCTGGAAATACCCTTTTTTGCCAGTATGAGCGATCGATGAACACCTACTTTAAATATCCTATGGGAAGGGTACCCAAAACAGAGAGACAGCGAGAGAGAGGGAGAGAGAATAAAGAGCTTTAAGCATTTGACTGTTAATGATGAGGGGGAGGAGCAGCAGCATAAGGAGCGGTGGAGTTGTAAGAAATGATTGACTCGAACTCAAAACTTGACGACGGCTACGCGACTGTGCGACAGCGGCACCGGCAGCCTCACCGTCAGCATCGGGACAGCGGTCGCTTCGGTCGCCTCGGTCGGCTCGGTCGGCTCTTTTGGTGATAATGTCAAAGGCGGCAGCAAACGGTCGGTCGGTCGGTCGGTCGGTCGGGCACTGCGCGCACGTCTCTCGCCCCCCGCCGCATGCTTAATCATGCGCGGAGCTGCAGGAAAAAAAATCGAAATGCAGCAGCAAAAGCAGCGCCTGTCAAAGCTGCGATTAATCTCACTCACAGATGCTAGAGCGAGAAATAGAGAGAGAGGAGAGGAGAGGAGAGGCACTCTCTTCATAGCCGGCAGAAGAACAGTGCGCACAGTGGTACAGGAATGACTATATCTGGCAAGAGGGCAAAACGTTTGAATCGAGGCACAAATGCGATGAACTTCGATCTTTCAGATAACACAAGGGCGCTTAGAATAGACAAAATTCTGTATAGACGATTCATTTCTTTCTGAGATTTTATAGAAATTTATAGAACAACCAGAAAATATTTAAGAAAAATCAATTTTCAAGATATTATTACTAAAATCAAGCTGTATTTTTATGGATATATGTATCGATATTGCTGATGGCTGGAAAACCAGTACCAAAATGTCAGAATATTTAAAGATTTAAAGGAAAATGTTTGAAATATAAAAACAAAACTATACTTGAAAGTTTAAGGTACATGTTATTCATTTAAGCAAAAGAAACCTCTACAAAAATATTTAATTTGAATTTCATTTAAATAATTTTTGTATAGGCAACCCCTCAACGACACCCTTTTGAACCACTGTGACTAAGCAGCAGCACTCATAATTGAGATATGAACTTGGTAATAATTCATAAAAAAAAGAAAGAAAATATATGGAAGAAAAAGCCAGGCCAAGAGGCAGAGGACTGGTCAACCAGTTGGCCAAGGACTGGCAGACAGCAGCATCGACGACGCAGACGCAGACGCGGACGCGGACACGGACAACGATCGCGGCTTGTTCGTCTAGAAATAACTTAATTGTCACTCAATTACTCAGTTTTCAGCTAAAAGCATTCATTGCTCTGGCTTAACGTCAAAATGCAGCGGAGAGAGAGAGAGAGAGAGAGAGAGAGAGAGAGAGAGAGAGAGAGGGATCCGCGAGAGAGATGTGGATGGTGGATGGTGGATGGAGCCACGGGAACCCGTCGCCTAGGCGTGAATAATAGTCCCAAAGCCCCGT